CAAAGTGTACAATGCTGTGGTTTTAGTATGCTCACAAGTGGGCCTGCCTTGGGACCAACACAGTCCTGTCTTTATTTTTCTTTTTTTTGAGATGGAGTTTTTTTTTGCTCTGTCGCCCAGGCTGGAGTACAACGGCTCCATCTTGGCTCACTGCAACCTCTGCCCCCTGAGTTCAAGCAATTCTCCTGCCTGAGTCTCCTGAGTAGCTAAGATTACAGGCATGCGCCACCATGCCCTGCTAATTTTTGAATTTTTAGTAGAGATGGGGTTTCACCATGTTGGTCAGGCTGGTCTTGAACTTTTGACCTCATGTGATCCATCCACCTCAGCCTCTCAAAGTGCTGGGATTACAGGCCCTGGTCTTGTCTTTCTTGAGCCCTCTTCCATCAGGTGTCACTTCCCTCGCCCCCACCACTGTACTGGGACCACCCTTGTCACAGTCAACCCTGGAGCTCTAAGGAGCTGAATTCAGTCGTTAGCTCTCCATTCTCGACTAACCTGAGCCATGTGCCCATCTGTCACAGCAGCCCCACCCTTCTGTGCAGCCCCCCAGACCCCATTCCCTTCTGGCCCTCCACCTCCTCCTCTGGCTGGCTTCGTGCTCACTCACTGCCTCCTTGGCTCCTAAGCACTGCATCCCTGCGGCGTATTCCATGGCCTCTCTTCCCTCTACACGCATTCCCTGGTGGCATCCTCCAGAGATGTGGCTTCAACGCCATCTAGATGCCGATGACTGATATCACCAGCCCTGATGGCTGTGATAGCCCCTTGGCAGTGCCCAGTGCCTAAAGCTGACTGCTGGGCCCTGCCTCCTCAACTTGCTCTACCTGCAGCCTTCCTCATCCTGGCCGATGACCTGACGGCCTCTCCATTCTCCCTGCTGTTCAGTAAGGAAACTGGGAGCCATTCTGCACCCTCCCCCATCCCCATCATCAAATCCTGTCAGCCCTACCTGCCACATGTCCCCAGCGTCCTACCACTTCTCCACACCTTCACTGCTGGCAACCTAGTGCAGGACTTCCATGAAAACTTCCACACTGGCCTCCCTGCCTTCACCCTGACTCCTGCAGCTGCTC